GAATTTTTTTTTGCTCATTCAGTTATTAGTGGAAATCGGTTCCTTGCACTTTAAGAATTGTGGTTCCCCTTGGGGCCGGCAGGTGGTGTAGTAGTTAAAGCACTGGACTCCCACATAGTCAACTGTGGTTCAAGTCCCAGACCTGGAGATTTGCTTTCTCACTTTCCCCTCTCGCTCTGGTCAGATTAAAAAATAATAATAATGATGAATAAAATTAAATATAATAAGTCTAAAAAAAAAAAGAATTGAGATCCCCATTTTCTTACTGGTTATTAGCTGAGGCCCATTCCCATCTTCCAGAGGCTTCCTGCATTGCTGGACTCATGGCCTACGTCCTCCACCTTTGAAGGCAGTGATGGAGGATTGAGTCCCTTTCACACTTTGAATCTCTCTGGCCCTTTTCTTTTTTCTTTCTGCCTCCCTCTTCTACTTTAAGACTCATATAATTAATTAGTCCCATCCAGATATTTCAAGAAAACATCTCCAACTCCAGATCCTTCACCTTCATCACACCAGCAAAGTTCCTTTTGCCAGGCAAGGTAGTAAATGAGTAGATTCTGAGGATTAGAATGTGGACATCTTTCACCTGCCATTTCTAACCAGATGGGAGATTAAAGGGGAATGTAAGGTCCAAGTTTCTGACTTCAACAATTGGGTAGAATGCAGCTTTAAGAAAGGAAGACAAGAGCCAGTGGTCAAGGAGTGTGGGTTGAGTCCTGAACTCGGTGGCTTGAGAAATATGCCAGGCGCATGTGCTTATGTGTACCCAAAATCCTGGGAGGAGAACGGAAGAGAAGGGATTGCAACATGGTCTTCCCCCTGGGGGGTACATCTCATATTCTCTCTCTTTCTCAGTCTCTCTGGCAAGCACACACACTCTATAACAAAACTTAGGGGGGGAAAAGAAGATGAATGGGGTTTTGAACATGTTGACGTTACAGTGTTCCTGGGAATTAAAACTGGAACCATCTAGTAAGCAGTTCCATGTACCAGATAGAAGACAGAAGCAAAGTCAGGGCCAGAACCTGTTAGCATATGGTGAGCCTTCAGTGAATGTGCTGAAGCCAGGATCCTGGGCCCATGAGTGTAGGTGCAATGGACGGAGAAGCGCTCACAAGACACAATGAATAACCTGCCCGTTTTCCCTCCATAGGGTCTCTGTCCTTGTGGGCAAACCATCTCTTGTCCCTCCTGGCCTATTTGTCCCCATTACTTTGATTTCTGCTCACTCATAGTTTCTGCTTCCTAAGACTTGAGCTTGCACATTGTGTGCTGTGGCCTCTCCTGTCGTTCTTCCTCACCATCGTGGATCTTTCAGCTTCAACTCACATTACTGAACTGCCTCATCCTCTTGCTATATTCCTAGTATTCCCTTCTGAAGGGAATTTGGTTAACCCAGTTTATCATATTGAGTGACAATGTGGCACAGGCCACAGATTAAATTAGGATTGGGCTATCCCAAGGCCAGGTACTCACCTTGGCCAAATTAGCTGCTTGGATCTTTCAGGGGCTAGAATGAATCCAATCTGTCCAGCAAATGATCTTGTTCTACAGGGACAAAAGGTTCACTACATTTCTATCATATTTGCTGGACCCAGGATTATGATGTTGAAAATAGGCATATAATAGGGTCGGGCCTCTCTTCACCATCACTCCTCACTCCTAGTCTCATGAAGCCATAATACCATCTATTGCCAGGGAATTTTTATAGAAACTGAATTTTGGATCCAAACTAGAAATAAAATCCAGGCAGGCAAAACTCAAACTAAATGTTTTCTTTCACCAACTAATCTCTATTCTACATTGACTTGGTGTATTTATTTATTTATTTATTTTAAAAATACTTTATTTAATTTTATTTATTTATTCATTTATTTTGACCAGAGGGAGACAGACTCATACACACACACACACATACAGAGAGAGAGAGAGAGAGAGAGAAAGTGAGAAAGCAAGCCACCAGGTCCAGGACTTGAACCGTGGCTGGCCATGTGGGAATGTCCAGCGCCTTAACCACCATGCCACCTGCTGGTCCCCAACTTGGTGTGTTTATAAACATCATCCAAATGGGAACTGGTTTTTCAGATTCATGGGCCTTCCAGCCACTCGGCATTTGTGCATTCCAGGCCTCTCCGCATCCATGTAAGGGACTGATGCCTGCATGTCTGCATCGCAGCCATGAACTGACATCACACTGAACACATGGCCTCTCATTCTCTCTTAAAAATAGACTTCCTGTAGGAGTCTCTCATCCTTTCATCCTACCTTATTCTCCCTCCTGCTCTCACTCCAGACCCAAGGAGTCGTGTATAGTCTAGCCTAAAAAAATTACTCATGTTCTTAGAAACTACTGGACTTTTTACACCTCTGTGACTTGATCCATGCTGTTTCTTAAGCCTGAAATGGCTTCCCTCTCCTCTATCTTGAAAAATCCAACCTATTTCAGAGGTCAGCTGAAGCTCGGCTTCTTTATAGAGTCTTCTGGATCTCCCCAGCTTGGGGAAATGGTCGCTTAGTTACAGTCTCACGTATCTTTGTGCTTATGTCTCTATTACATCACTTATCACATTGTATGCTAACCACATGGTAGGTTAATAATTTGAAATATTATCTGACTCAAGATTAGGCTCAGTTGCATATAGCAGAGGATTAAAGAAGATAGGTTATTTCTCTCTCCTGTTAAGGAAGACTAGGAACAGTCTGGAGCTGCTGTAGCTGTTTTGCAGTGTTATCACGAATCCAGTTTCCTATCTATCCGCTTTGCCATACTCAACTCATGGCTTTCATGATCAAGTTCACCTCACGTTCACAAAGGCTGCCCAGTCTTAGCTATCACATCTATGCTCCAGAAAGCAAGAAGCAGGGAGGAGAAGGATGACTTGTCTCCTCTGTTTGGAGGAGAATTACTGGAAATACCATACAACAATTCTACTTATGTATTATTGGCCAGAATGCAGGTGCCAAATCTAACTGCAAGGAATTCAGGAAATTGCAGTCTTTATTACAGCAGCAATGTGCCAAGATAAAACTGTGTCATAAGAAATGAGAAGAGAAAGGATATTGAAAGGCAACTTTAGTCACATCATCTGATACATTTTTTATTGCATATAATTCTTGTTGCTTCCCATTCTTTTGTCTTTTAATGCTTAGCAATCTGTGGCTTTAGGAAGCAGTTAGAACCCAGGTGAAAACAAAAATCACATATAATGGGTTTAAAATTTACAGTCTTAGGGCCAGCAGGTGGCGTGGTGGTTAAGGTGCTGGACTACCACATGACTGACTGTGGTTTGAGTCCTAGACTGGGTGAGGTGCTTTCTCTCTCTCTCTGTCTCCCTTTCTCTGGTGATTACATGTACCCTACAGCATATAAAATAATAATAATGATACATAAATTAAATAAATAATTCATTTAAAAATTGTAGTCTTAATTCAGTGGTGTAGAAATGTTTACTGGAGACAGTGTGGGAGGAGGGTAGGAAATGGCAGAGGGTGAGAGAAGGGGAATCAAGAAGAAAAAGAAACAAAACATTTAAGGGTCACAAAAATTGAAAATTATCTGTTGATAATAACATGTATGATAATATTTTTAACTGGACTAATGTACAGTGTATTCATGCTGGTAAAATTCATTTTGTATGCTGTTATGATATACAATGATTGAATGTAGACATAGAGCTATAGACATTAAAAAAAGAAAGCACAAAAAAATAGAGATTTTTTTAAAATGATTTTTTATTTAATGTTATTTATTTTTATTATTATTTTCCAGTTTGATCAGAGAGAGAGGGAGAAAGACAGAGAGGAAAAGTGAGAAAGCAAGCCACCGAGTTCGGGACTCGAACTACTGTTGGCTACGTGGGAGTCCAGCGTCTTTAACCACCACACCACCTGCTGGCCCCCAAAATAGAGATTTAACCTTTATCAAATCATGTGTACAGAAGAGGCAGCAAAGTGAAATGGTCTCTGGTGTCAGACATATCGAGCTCCGCATCTCACTGGAGATTGACTTTGTTGACATTTCTTACTACCTAGCCTCATTCTTTTCAAATGTTAGATGGAGGGAGTGATCATACCTAATTTATAGAGTTATTGTGTGTAATATAGGTAAAGTACCCAATAAAGAGCTAGAATTTATATGTATTATGTATTCTATATTAATGTTACACATATTATATATATACTATATATATATGATAGAAATGTTACTTTCTCCCTTTATTAAACTTGCCCATGAGCCTCTGTTTCCATTTATAGCTAAGAAAAAAAACCTTATCAGTTAAAGGTAATATAGTCACTTCTTTTTTAAAATTGAATCTCTTTTGAGTAAATATTCAGTCAAATTCAGGGTTCTGATTATCTAACATCTTTCTGATATTCTCTCATTTTTTTAGGCTTTCAATAATTGGGTATAGTATACGTCTGTCTCCCTTTCTACCCAAGAACCTTTTGGACTTTGAAAATTGTTTTGACTGTTTGGGATTTTTTCTAGTATGTATTGTACAAATTGACACATAAGAAATAGTTAAAAATGTGACTGAAGAATTTATGAATATTTTTCAATGCATCATATGGTATATAATTAATTCATATGGTAACATAATGATCTGAAATCCTGTACAATTAACAGTCCATTTTGGTAAAGTCCCTGGCACTATGTTTATAGCACTGATAATCTTCAGCTCTCGGTTACAGTGGTTTGAGAATCTGCCTTACTCTCACTTAGAGTGTCCAGTGTCCCAAAAAAGATCCTAATCTGTAACTCTCACAAGTCCTGAGAAAGCCAGGAACAGAGTAGGCCTTCAGTCAATGAAAATGAATGGGGACAGGAATAGGGGCTGGCACCTTATAGTTTACCACTAATAAAAAAAACTCCCACCCAGTAAGAAACAGAATAGATTTTATTAGAGGTGTTTAGAATAATATTAATAAAGACAAGTTGCTATTTTGCCTTTAACTGAACTCCTTTTTTTTTAAGGAAAAAAATTGCTTTTGTTTTTCAGAAACCCTCCACCTACTTTACTTCATCCGGAAAAATGGTGTGAGGAATTCAACCATTTCATTTCACAGTGAGTATTTCTTCCCCTGAAAATTGCTTACTTGGCAAGGCCTTGAACAGTGATTGGAGAAAGTCAAACTGTGGAATTCACTTGGCACTAGAAGTTGTCATGCCTACTAGCACATAATGGCACAGGATTTGTTCCAGTAAATTATAGAAGATGCCTCCACAGAATCTACAAAAATAAGGAACTCCATTTGACCCTTGGCTATAATCAGTTCTGATCATATGGGTCATATTTATCTGAAAACCTCCTCTTGCCTGGCCCAGATATTGCCAACTTGTCTAGTTCCATGGGGGAGACTCAAGGTCTAACTATGAGATGCCCACACTGGGAGCCGAGGGATGGCAGAAGGTAGCAGCCTACGACATAGGTTTTACAGCTGGGAAGTTGAGCTTTGCTCTAGGCTCTGTGGTACAGAAACAGAGCTCCAGTTTTCAATATGATCGAGTAAGTAAGCTCTCAAGCAAGGGACCCAAGGTGAGGCATCGGAGACAAAGCTCCAGGTTAGGAGAACAAGATGAAAAGCCAGTTGAAGGTATGATGTACCAGATGGGAGCTAAGTCATCAGGTAAGTCTTACTGAGACTAAGACAGGAGCAGAAGCAGCAGTGACACCAACAGGGGGGCTCAGGACTTCCGGCTTGGCCCCTGGCAGAGGATCACAGTGATCCCAAATCTGGGGAGGATGCTCAGTCTGTGGGAGAGTGCTACAAAAGGCTCCAAGTTAAGAGCAGGTAAGATGGAGGCAGGGATCTAGACCAGTTGTTACAAACCGTATCCAGGCAAAGGAACTGGGAAGACATGTCCTCTGTCCAGTATGTCAAACAGGGTATTCAGAAGTCATGGGAGGAGAAAGAAGTGACTGAAATAGCTGATATACTGGAAACAGGGAAGAGTCAACACAGTTTTTCTAATGTATGCCTATGTGCAGACTTAGAGGTTAGGCTATGGAGCAAACTGGGTCTCTCGACCACCTTCCTTAATCACAGAACAATTATCCACAATCCCAAAATCTAAAGAACTGTCAGGGATGAAAGCTCTACTGTAGTTGAGCCTTTTTAGCAGCAAAACCTGACCTCGTTTGATCTTATTTAGTGACAACGCATGACCTGAACTAATGTGAGGCTATTTATAGTCATTATTTATCTTACTTAGTGTAAATATTCATGTGTTTTGCTGCAGATATATTACGTTTGATTACAGTGTGCTGTCCCAGATCCTTCTGGGGATGTTACATAATATACAGTAACTGCACCAACTTACCTTTCTAAGATTTTATAAAATTTTGAATTATAAGATATATTTGGCTCCAAGGAGCTTATATAAAGAGCAGTGAACCTGTATTTCATTTTCATTTCAAATACAGTATAATTCAGGGTCCCTGAAATGGTTGGCTTGTCCAATCCTTTCTGAACCTGTGCCATGTTCCTTGGGAGAGAGGAGTAGAAAAGAACTCAAAAACTCGTTTAAGAAAGGTTGTATTGAAATGTGACCAGGAAGTTCCAGGACAGGGAATAAAGAACATTTCCTCATCCCTTCAGCCCCACTCTGACATTTTTGACCTAATTGTACAGAATGCAACAGGAGTGGCCACATGTCAAAGGTGATAGAGCTCAGACCTTGTTGAGATTAACAACAGATGCTTGTAGGAGAGACAATGCTCACACAGGAGCAGAGGAAGAGCCACTTCCTGCAGCTTGGGAGCCAAAGCAGGAGGTAGAGGAAACTGGAGAGCTGAAGACACCTTGGTGGCTTGGGAGTACATTTAAGACCACCCCAGGACGAGAAATCTGAAAACTGGGAGCTAAGAGTCCAGTGATTTTGATGGCAAAAACTGGGTCCAAAGAGTTTTCTTTTTCATTTCATTGCTGCACACAGATACCCTTGCTTGACCTTCTTTAAGCTGCTGGCCTAGAAAAATCTATTATATATTCACTAACGCACCTTCCCATACTGAGCTCTCCTAATGCTGCAAAATGTGACTCAACTCACAAAACTTTGGTTTTTGTGTACTTTTTCCGAGCGTATGTTTGTGTATTGCTTGGATGGATTTGATAATAAAAGTACATAATTGATGACGGGTTTGGGATTTTCAGGTTACACACAATATAAAAATCCCTCCTTGCCATTGATATTTCCCTATGAAAATCCTATTATACTCCAATTCAAATCTGTTTATGTTTTCTCCAACTCAATTTCACATGCACTTAGGTCTTGAATACTAGAATGGAGGGCTAAACACAGGGAACAGTGCCTTTGAATATGCAGTGTCAGAAACAAAGCAAAAAGCATCTTCTTGAAATCACAGGGGAGGCAGTCTGAACAGTTTCTGAGGAACCAGGAATGCAAATGGAAATTAAGTGATTGTGTGCTTTGTAACTAATTTAAGATATGCAAATGTGTCATCAACCTTCTCTTTGTTTATATTGTCTTATTTTTTAATTGATGAAAATATTATATATTATAGGTGCTCATAGATTCTTCGTTGATCTCAGCCTTTTCCCAGTCCTATTTTCCCCATAACTTATTGGATTCATCAGCTGTGAATTCTCCGGCTACAATATTTTTAGAAATATCTCTCAAGATTGGGGATCGATTATTGTATTTTTATGTGTTTAGAGAAGAACTTGTCCATCATCCCAAAATACTATCTTCTGGTTTTGTAGATGAGAGGGCCTACCCTAGTCTGCCATTACTGAAATGCAGTTTGACCAAATGCTATTTTATATTTATTCAGATTTCTAGTTAAATATAAACAATAACTTTCACTGGATTTGAAATAGCTATTAAAATATAAAAGCTGATTTGTTTTTATCTTTACCTTGCTCCTAGTAAAATGGAAGAAAGAAAGATGCAGGATTAAGACCTTCAGATGATAAACTTTTCATTATTGGAGGGACTGGGACGGGGAAGATGATGATCTGGCAATGTTAGGGAAAATGTGTGCGTGCATGCATGCGTGTGTGTGTGTGTGTGTGTGTGTGTGTGCATGTGTGTGTTTATTTCTTTTTGAGAGAGAGAGAGAAAGGAAAGAAAGAAGCAAGCAAGCAAGCTTCAGTAGGATCCCAATATGAGAGCCTTCCCAGCCAACTAGGGTCATGGGTTTGTGTGTGTTCCTGGCATGTGCAGGTGACCCAAGAACTAAACCCCCAACTTCCATATGGCTTCCGACATAGCAGAGCTTTGTGCCACCCCAGCATCACCATGGCTAGGCCTAGTAAAAATAATGTTTTTAATCTGAATTATTCAGCTAATTGTTTCAATTTCCTTTGTAGAGCAAGCCAGATTGTATTAAAGTAAACTTAACTGATTATCTCTAAAGAATAAACAGGACTAGAAATTCCATGTGACTGCTGAAACATAACAGTTGACTCAGTAATTTTGGTTTTCTTAGTCCATGCTGGTCACTACTCAGCAAAGGACCGATTATGGCTTCTCATTGACTGCTGCCGGATTCTGAATGGTTTGGTCTGGATGCAGTCTAGTGATTATAACTAGACAGGGGATGAGTGTGTGCGTGTGTGTGTGTGTGTGTGTGCATGCAGGAGGGTCGGGGAGGTGGGGGGCATAAGCACTGGGATGTGGTTTTCAGATTTGTTACCAGTCTCTTTAATTTGGAGATAGTAGGAGAGATCTTTTAAAAATGTCTAAGAATCTTGGGACCAGCAGATGGTGTAATGGCTATGTCGCTGGACTCCCATGTAGTTGACTGCAGTTCAGGTCCTGGACCCAGTGGCTTAAACTCATGCTAGGCACATATGTGTGCATGCCCAAGATCCCAAGAGGAGAATGGAGAAGGGATTGTGGGGTGGCCATCCTCCCTGGAGAGTGATTTCTCGCTTTCTATCTCTCTGTCTCTGGTGAGTGCATGCTCCCTATAGCAAAAATCTCTCCAAAGGAAAAAAAAAAAAGTCTAAGAATGAAAAACTTGTTATTAAACCTATTTGGGGGTTAAATTAAAAAAAAAAAATTAACCTGTTTGGTTCTGAACCTTTGGTCATTAGCGATAATTGGCTCATTTATATGTGTTATTTGTGGATTTGTCAAAACATGACTCCTGACAGCTTAGTTATGATCAATTAAGTGCAGTGCTCACATAAATTCTGCACTGCTTTTTATCCATACGCCAGGACCCTGCCTGATGTTTTTGTCGTCTCTATAACGTGTGGTTTGCTTTGTAGTGATTTCTTTATCAGCCCTTTCCCCTCTGGCTAAGGCTATTTGCATAACAAGGTTATCTGGTTCAAGTACCAGCCAGACTACTGCTTTGTCTGCAGGCTTCACTTAGAAGTGGCCATTTGATAAGATAATAATTTGCATTTTGCCAACATCACCTTGGTCCTAGTGGATGTCACTTTTTTCTTTTTTTTTTTTTTTTTTTCAAACTAATGTCAGGTCTTTGGAATTAACTACAAAAATACTTTGCCAACTGTTGACCAAAAGGAGTTTGTGAGCTGTGCTTTTTCATTTTGTCTCTAAAACGTTGGGGGTTTTATTATGATTGGATTTAGGACTTCATCAATGACTCTTGAGCTGATTAGTGGCACAATAAAGATGAATTTTCCTTGGTCAAGGGCAAGTTCATGAAAAGTATCAGGGCTGTTCAGCTTTGGATTTAACAATCATTTGAACTATATGGTCAGTTCACCCACATGTAAACTGTGCTTTCTTGGGGTGTCTGGCTTGGTTTGGTTCATGTAGGGAAGAAAAAGCAATCTCCTTTCTCACTCATTGCAAGATTCATGGCTGAAATTCCTATAATAAGAAATAGATTAACAAGAGAAAAGCATAGCAACTTTAGTTAATATAACTTTTATGTGACACAGAAGCCTTCAGAAATGAAGACCCAAAGACCCAGAGGAAAACTGCATTTTGGGCTTAGGTATGATGAAGAGTGAACACTGTAGAAGTATGGTTAGACAAAACGTGGGTATGCCTTAATGGCAAGAAACTGGGTAGAACTCAACCAAGGCCTGTTAATTCTTGGTCTTTCTGTGTAACATCCAT